CTCTGTTGTCTTCATCATAGATCCTACACCTGTTCACCAGCTCAGGAAAGTACCTGATCTTCTGATAACCGACACCCAGTTTGATCTCGGGACGCAGCCCGTTCTCAAACGTGATGCATTTCGACCTCATAGTCGCATCAATATTGTAATGATGACAATAATTTACCAGCTCTTCGAATTTAACCGTATATTCTGCCACCGTCATGTTTCCCTACTTCAACTTAATGAATTCGATCTCTTTCTTTCCGCGAACATCTTCCAGAAAATATCGTTCTAGAAATTTTGCCTTGAACATTGTCCAATTAATGGGACCCTCCCCAGCTTCCAATCTCTGACAGATGTTGTCCCACCAGTCCTCGGCCTCACTTTCTAGCATATGGGTACCAAAATGTACCTTATGTTTCTCTGAGCACCCCATGACTCTGAATATCTTCTCAATATCCTTCAGCCATTTCTGTGTTGTATCTAGATCATGTCCGTCTTCGAACTTAGGTGGCTTGTTATTCTGGAACTTCTCCAAATTACGAAACTCTCCGTTTCCAATATTCCGTTTGATATTCTGACCAATGTTATCCACTGCTTGTGCAACAACTTGTAATGCAGCAGCCATCACATCATCATTCCTACCAGCCATACTGCTCAATATCCACAAAAACTCAGGTTAGAAAAACACATGATTATAAACATTCTATAGTCAGACTCTACTACAACATTGGTCGGACGGACCAACCTACTCTGATACCAATTGTAACACCCCATTCTACCCCGTACGCGTATTATACGAATATTAAAGAAAATACATCAGAGTTTTTCAAAACAAGAAGGATGTCACACTAAGTCACTTTATTCTTCATAACCAAACCAATGTTATCTAGCTTTCACTTAAACAGCGGAATAAATTCAATTCTTTAAACATAATTTCCACCAATAGGTGATCATGCATCCTTAATCCAACAAATAAAAGATACATAACGATAAATCAATAAAATAAGCAAAAGGTAACGTAATCCTGTCATCCCATGTTACGTATCAGAGTGACTCCTAGGACTCGATCAAGTAGCAACACACTCCAAGCACTACTCAGGTACCTGGTCGTCTGCACTCCCCAAGGAGCACAGACACAACAAACAGAAAAGGGGTGAGAACTACATTCAATAAATAAGCGGTAAAATACACATGCTAAAGAGTAGTTACACCCCACACATACAATCATACACATATAACGCACATACATGTGCCACATCAATTACTCGGCATCTGTAGCCCACATTCCAATATAATTATGCAATGTGACTCACTGAATCGACACAATGCACATGGTACCAACACAAATACATACGGTTCACCCTAGAACCCGATTCTCGTTGGAATCCGGATAAGTCGTATATGTTCCTCTGAACTACAACTTATCTCCACAACGACTTCCATATGAAGTTCGGATAAAACTAGGCACCCATCATGGATTTTCACCTAGCCATCTCCACAAGACACATGACATGAAATGCATGTCAACACAATTATGCAGATATAATAATTCAAGCATAATTCACGATCATCAATGATCCACACGAGCCATTCGCTCACCGTAATCCTCTCGAGAATTGCCACCATCGCACAAGATTATCCAATTTCGACAATCATGGCTCATACTCATCAAAACACACCCATAAGGGCACAGACATAACATTCCACATACTCTCGATTTAATTCATTACTAATCTTCCTTAAGTTCATTTTAGTCATATTAATCCTATCGGCTAAACGGAATTGCGTTTCAAGCGAACACTGGACAGGAATCACAAAAACTGGGGAAAGTCATCCCAGACTGTCCATACGCGTACCAATAGGGTCATACGCGTATTGTCTGCTGTCATACACGTATTGGACCTCCCTTACGCGTACGACCAAAGGCTTCTACCTCCCAAAACCCCTTCAGAGTCACCCCTTACGCGTATGGCTACTCCCATACGCGTATTGCCAAGCCACATATGCATATCACTAGATGGTCGTGCTGGCACTGGGGACAGGGAACGTATGCTACGTGTACAGCCCCTTGGAAAGTCCCTCATACCCGTATTTCCCAAGCCCATACGCGTATGACCAGTAGATCTGTCAAAAAACTCAGATCTCCTCATTCTCACGAGTTCCCTCTCCAGATCCATCATTCTATATTCCAATTTATCCTAAAACTCGGATTTTAATCGATTACAATAAATCTTATCTTCTATTCTTTCAAGATTCTACTTATTAGATCTAATTTCGATTACTGGTAAGCCCTTAATTCTCAGATCTAACATCTGTCATAATTTCACCACAATGTTCATAACGTTTCACACGAATTTTAGATCGGTTTTAGATTCGTTCACCCAACACCAGATCAGGATATTCAACAATTACAGTAATTTACAAGAAGAATCATACTGTTACGAAAATTAGACTAATAGGCAAGAACAACCAAAATTCTTATGAGAGAAAGGACCTCTCACTACCCTCTCATGTTGAATCATCCATATTGAAATCCATTCTCCCCCCTTACCTTGGATTGAAGCTTTTCCTTGACAACAATGGAGATTTGGCCCTTTGCTCTAGCTCTCATTTCTCTGCCTTTTTCCTCTTTCACGTGTTAACTGACTAATTCTTCCATTAACCCTCTCTTAACCCCCTTAATCAGATTTTAATTCTATTAAGTTTGATTAATAATAATAATAATAATAATAATAATAATAATAATAATAGTAACCATTCTCCTATTAATTTTATTATTAGTAGTAATTAAAATAATAATACTAATGAGCATAATATTCTTACTATTATTATTAAATCATTCACATTATTTATTATGGATCCATCTTGCCTCAACTAAAGGTCAACTCTCCCTTATGCCCTTAACCGCATACCCTTAATTAAGGACATCACAACAAATACACGTTACAGAAAATACGAAAGCGACTCAATAATTTAAATGGGGTGTTACACAATCCACCTTTTTTCTGCAAAACATGAATAAATGTCATAAATTTACATAAAAAAACATATAAATACATAAAAAAATCGGGATATTATCATCTTTCATTCTGTGTCACTAATGTGGATAATCTTATCAAGTTGTTGTGCTTATACTTTAATTGGTAAAATAAACCAAACCAAAAAAGAGATGAACATGAAATAATTTAGATGAAGAGATTCATGTAATACACTGTCTTGTATCCAAAATATTTAATCTTATCTTAATGTTAGAAGAGTAAATTGAATTGTGAAGAGAAGAAGAGAACAAAAAGTGAGTGGGAGAAAGAGCAATATTCTTACCGAGAAAGAGACAGTGAGAGATGACAACGATGATGATGGTGGTAACTTGGATCTTGGAACATTCTCGGGTATGACGATGAGAGGATGATGGCAATGGATGTTGATAACCCTAGAATGAGCTTGGAGACGGAGCGGCGAGTGAAATGAATTATTTTTATCAATGATAACCCTAGAATGAGCTTGGAGACGGAGCGGCGAGTGAAATGAATTATTTTTATCAATGATAACCCTAATCCAATTATGAAGTTATTAAAAATTGGATCAATTTGATTTTAATGTTAGACCCACCTAGTTCTTAAGTTATATTATATAATAATAATAATAATAATAATAATAATAATAATAATAATAATAATAATAATAATAATAATAATAATAATAATAATAATAATAATAAATAATAATAATATGTTTGGTCGAGTCTCGATTTCGACGGATTCAATATTTATCACTGAATTCGACTACTTAAACTCATTAATACCCAATTAACTGTCTTATGATACTTGTAGTCCGAAGTTAACCGATCTGTAGACCAAAACACACTTCGATTCTGACGGATTTCTTCGGGTGGTCTCTGGATGTCCACCCCTAATATTTACACATGATTCTTCTATTTTTATTCCACATCTAAAATGATGGAAATATAATATTCTCATGAGAATAAGTTCAACCAATTATAACTTTCCACTATCAATCACATTTTTTTTAAATTTTTTACTTTTTTTAATTTAAAATTAAACAATTATACAATTATTTCCAAAAAACTTTAATTTCTACCAAACACATAAGTAGGAATAATATTCCTGAAAATATAATTTTAAAAAATATGATTTGAAATATTGAAACAAACATACCCTAAATATTTAACACCAGACACAATCATTTAAATACGAAAACAATAAAACATATATAAATATTTATCCTTGATATCCATTTGAATATTTGATGATAATTCTACTTTATAAAATTATTTTAACGAGTGTCTCTAGGATTGTCCGCTAGAGGATTTAACTCAATGTTTTAAAAATTATATTGGAAATTGAACCGGTGACACTTATGGTTTAAGATTCAGTTAGTTAAATTGTTTAAACATATAGTCAAACTGTTTATTAAATAAACTAATAATATGAAATTAAATTTTAGAGATATTGCGGAATGTAGGTTAAGTTATAATATTAACATATTAAATTTCATTTTTTTATAAATTTATAAAATGGTCAATTTGATGGTTTTTTTTTATCCATGCGATTTTACAAAATCGATTCTGATTTTTTGGTTCGAATGGTTTTTGACGGTTCAATTTAATTTTTTTTATTTTACTCCAATTTTGTTCTACTAAAAATTTTAAAAAATTGAATTAACCGAATTTATCTCTAATTTCCGATTCAACCGGTTAAACCGACCGATTCAGTACCATTTTTTAAAAGATTGATTTATCTAGTTATGAAATACATGATATAATGTCTTATATCTTGTTGTCATCTTATCATATTCTTATTCAAATCTACATAACATTTTATCTATATTATTTTCTAATAAAAAAACCAACTCTTATTTTATTAATATTAAAGTCTTGTATCCTCTATATTTAATTTCTTCTAATTTTTCTTTTATACACTTGACATGTTTCTTCGCATAAAAATTCAGAATCTCTGAACTAAAAGGTTGAAACTGGATTTCAGAAAGAAAAAAAAATGGAAAAAATAGAGCACACAACGGTTCACACCAACGGAATAAAAATGCACGTTGCATCAATCGGTTCAGGTCCAGTCATACTCTTTCTCCACGGCTTCCCTGAGCTTTGGTATTCATGGCGTCATCAGCTTCTCTCCCTCTCCGCTCTCGGTTACCGCGCCGTCGCACCCGACCTTCGCGGCTACGGTGACACCGACGCGCCGTCTTCTCCTTCTTCTTACACCGCTCACCACATCATCGGTGACCTCGTCGGACTTCTCGATGCTCTGGCTGTGGATCGAGTGTTTTTGGTTGGGCATGATTGGGGAGCTGCTATGGCGTGGTATTTTTGTTTGTTAAAGCCTGATCGTGTTAAGGCTTTGGTTAATATGAGCGTTGTTTTTCGGTCTAGGAACCCTAGTAGAAAGCCTGTTCAAACTTTGAGGGCTTTGATGGGTGAGGATTATTATATGTGCAGGTTTCAGGTAAATTAACTAAATTTTGTTTATTGTTTATTGAAATTAGGGTGCTAATTGAATCAACTAACCTAGTAGGAAAGTAATTGCTCGTTGAAAATTTGTATGATATGGTGGTAATTGAATCAACTAGCCTAATAGGATAGTAGTTCCATAGTGATTACATCCTAAGTGGAGTTGAGTTGAGTTATAAATTCTGAGATGATATATTAGTTTATTTTAGATTTGTTAAGAGTTATAATGGTATTGTCCTAGTTATGGTTATAAACTGTCGATGTCTCTTACTTTACAAACTAATGTTGATTTTGTGGAGTTGAGTTTGACTGAAATTTAAATTATTGCTAATGGCTATAGATGAAAAATCACTTTGCCTTCAGTTATCTTCTATAAGAGAAGTTATTAAGAAAGATTTAGAGAACATTATGGCGGCAGTTGATCCATAAGAGAAGTTATTAAGAAAGATCTAGAGAACATTTTGGCGGCAGTTGATCCATGTAACCGACCTCACTTAGTGGGATAAGGCTTGGTTGTTGTTGTTGTTGTTGTTGTTGTTGTCTTTTACTTTACTGCTCCACTGTTCGAATCACAATTCCATGTTTGTTAAGAGTATAGACATTGCATCACTTTATGTTTTGATGAGTCCCCTCCTTGATAATTGAACATAAAGTTTTTCTGAATAACTCATTGATAGACTTGTTCCTCACAACAATGCAAGATCAATTTTGGTTCAAATGTTGGTTTGGTGGTTAGGGTGATAGAGTGGAGTGGAGCAATAAGGAGGAGAATGTTTGATCTTCACTCCCAACATGAATGTTAACTATACAAATAACATTGGTTTGAGTTTCATATACGTGAGAGTGAAATATGTACTAGTCAGATCTCTGCTTGATCTAAATTTGGTTATGAAGAACGATCAGTCCCACATCAAAGGAAAATACTTTGGCAATATCTGCTCAAGGCATGGGATTCTGTTGTGTTTTATTGCTCTAAATTTATCTTATGATCCTTGAGATCAGTTTCAAATAATTTTATATGTAATGATTGTTTGACAGCTCAAAGATATATGTATACCAAGTTAATATCAAGTTGCTATTTGGTTGTCCTGCAGAAACCCGGGGAGGCTGAAGAAGAGTTCGCACATGCTGGTGCCACAAGAGTAATAAAATCATTTCTTACCATTCGTGATCCACGTCCACTTTGTGTGCCAAAGGAGATAGGATTTGGAGGTTCCCCTAACACTCCTATTACTTTACCTAAATGGCTTTCCGAAGAAGATGTGAATTATTATGCTACCAAATTTGAACAGAGTGGCTTCACGGGTGGGCTAAATTACTATCGCGCTCTTGACCTGTAAGTTTCATCTATTCCACTATTAGAATTGACCTGTAAGTTTCATCTATTCCACTATTAGAAACATAACTAAACATATTGTAATGAACCCTCTATATGTATTTGAAACTAGGATTGAGAAAACATTTTCTAACTTTATTTTACTTCTAACTACAAAACTTTAACTAAATCATTGATTTAAACTTGTACTACTGTAATTATGTGTAACACCTCAATTGAAATATCTAGATATGAACTGGAATATTATACATACTTGGTACTGATACATGCACAGTAGTCTGAAAACAACATATAAGCACATAAGATAACAAAATGGTGCTCCATCATTTTTGTATCCTAGTACGACCATAAATCACTCTGAATTTGAGTACCTCATTCGTAACCTATGCTTGTATCACTCAGGATTTATACTGATACCCGAGATACTCATGATCTCGAAAGATACCAGGACATAATTCTCCTGTGTACTACAGAAACGATGACATACTATCCCATATACCTATATGAACTCACAGATCATGACCATTCCAATCCCCCACAACCCAGGCTTAGATCCATCCTACTACAACTCTGTGAGACTCCAGTTCTGTTTCCGAGTCATACAACCAGTACATGTAGTGAGACATGTCATTCCCTATGTGCGCACACATTAGATTTGTACCGTCCTTTACACTATAGGACTAGAGTTATATTATAATTATTACTCAGTACCGTCCTATGTGCGCACACATTAGATTAAACGATTTATTCTAGAGACGTTCAGCTTTACACTTGAGACTTCCTTTGATCGAATACAGTAATCAATTCCATTTCCTAATCCTAAATCATCACTAACCCTATTGATTTCCCCTAAGTTATACCATCAAATCCTAAGCTATACTTCATTCCTAGACCATTATCCTATTTGCATGGCCTATACTACCTCGCATACAGAATCGGGAGCTTTAGATTATGAACATCACAAGAGGGATGGAGAAGCTGGGCCCATTACGGTCTGGCCGTAATGTAGGCTACGTCCTGTAATGTGCCCAAGCATCCCTGGTACATTTTTTCTAGGGCCATTACGGCCACCCGTAATGCACGTTACGGCCGGTAACCAAGCTCGAAATTTCATTTTTTTCCTCATGTTTACCTGCAAACAGACAGTTTTCCAGCTCTCTTTTCTTCCATACATTGCACTCCACTAATGATCAATCACTGTAATAACAGTATAAGGCAACATGCATCCAATTTAACACATACTCAAAGAGTTATTTCATCCATTTCCATCATTCCTCCCTAGCATGCAATAATCCTATTTCAACTACCCAAGAATCAGAGCCTAAGAGAACCCGCCTTGAGGATGATTCTGAGCTCAAAGAGGTTGAAGAGAGATGTAGATAAACCCTGGATGCTCCTTCCTTGTTGTTCTAGTAAGACTTCTCTCTCATACATGCAAGGTGTATGGATGTGGACTTGAAACCTCCTCCGTCTCATTCTTTATCTCCACCTTGGCTCTCCTCTCCTTCTCACACTTACAGGTTCTGATTGTGAGGTGAATTATGTGAGAAATCCCTCGCATCTTGGTATAAATATGGTGAGGTAGTAAGTAAAATTCCTAATGCCCTCAATTTAATCAATAATGCCAAAACACTCCTAATGTTTCTAACTAAGTAAAACTCTCTTCTTTAACAACATAATCACTACTAACTTAATTTACAATAGGAGTCATTACATTATGTATCAATAAAAGAAGTTCAGAATAGAAACCTTTTCATTTGCAAAGAGGGAATTGTTATTAAGCTTTGAATGCTAATTTTATTGAACAATTTGGGTAAATTTTGATTTGTATGCAGAACCTGGGAACTGATGGCACCATGGACTGGAGATCAGATAAAAGTACCTGTCAAGTTCATTGTAGGAGACCTGGACCTTACATATAACACGCCAGGCGTTAAGGAGTATATACATAATGGTGGCTTTAAGAGAGAAGTACCATACTTGCAAGAAATGGTTGTGATGGAAGGAGTAGCTCACTTTATAAATCAGGAAAGGCCGGAAGAGATCAGCGCGCACATATATGACTTTATCAAGAAGTTTTAACCTGCTTCGTTCTTCACATGAATGTTGTGTAAAAGTTATTTATAATTCATGTTTTGCATTGCACTGTCCCACACACTTCCAAGATGAAGAATTTGCACAATATGGAACCAGTGTAAAACACACATGTCGGAGATGAGGCTGTATGTAAGAGACTGAAAGTAGTTATGTTCAAAATATAAGGCAATGATTTGGTTTAAAATTTGGTTCCATTCATCTTGGTTCACCTATTAGAGTTTGGTTTTAAAAATCTTCTGAACACCCCTAGTTGGCGCTTGAATCCTTTCCAAATCTAAAATGGTAGATTTCATTTTATCTCTATATGTGCTGGTAGTTGTTTCGTGAATGAACTTAGCTAGCTTTGGTAAGCTGGGAAAATCGTATAGGCTTGTAATGGGAAGCAAAACAACATGTAAACTCTTGTGGAAAGAATGAATATCAATTTCGGATTCAATTGTTTCTCAACTCTTAAGGTGGAGCCTTCCACACTTAGTGGATCATGATATTCCCAAAGAAGGGAGGAAACAGTTTTCAAGCTGCTTCGATTCATTGTCATCTTAAAAGCAATATTTTTGAGGTATTATTTACAATGTTTCACGATTTTTTGAAAAATTGGTATCAAAGAAATTATTGAGTCAAATCGTGGATTAGGTTAGATGGTTCTTTTTAAGACGTTTCGTGTAGTGTGCAAAGTAATCATTCATTCAATCACGACACCTTTAGAATAATAAAACAATCTAATTATATATTGTATGTTTAGTACTTATAAAATAGATAATCGATCTAGAATTACACCAATTAAATATGGTATAACTATCACTTTTAGTATTTAATTTTTACACTAGTCCTAGAGGGTGTGAAGAAACTACTAGAAAATAATAGCATAAGAGAAAGTTATAGGTGAAGCGGAGTTGTGTAAGAGAGGGCTTTTAGTATTTAATTTTTACACTAGTTCTAGAGGGTGTGGGTGTGAAGAAACTACTAGAAAATAATAGCATAAGAGAAAGTTATAGGTGAAGCGGAGTTGTGTAAGAGAGGAGAAAGATTTTGAAATAAAGAAATCTGAAGCGAAGAGGGTGAGATGGAAAAGCCTCTATTTATAGCCAAATTCTTGACCAAAATGGAAGAAAATGTGAGGGAATCAAATGGGCTCGATCCAAAATTATATATTTATAGAACTTGGTCGGCAAAGAAGTGTGAAACATGGAATGCAAAGCAAAACTAATCAACAATTATTGTTACAGTGAAAGACAAGGCAAACTCAGTCAACAATTAAGATTCCTGTTATAGACAACACATCAATTAGAGTTTTTGTTAGGGACAAATGCAACAATGTAACCTTTTGTTCTTATGTATATAGGGTTATTAAATAAAAATCAAATGAAACCATTTTTATTAGTTCAGGAAGTAAAATTACCTACGCTGTAACTTTAAACAAAATCCCTTCAAATGATGTGTCTTTTGCATAACAAGAATGATGGTTATGGCATAGAAGAATATATCATATCCATCCTTATGGAGTACTTAAACAAGTTGGGTTGTAAGAACTTAGTAATTGGTCTACCAAATTTACATTTTTAAAAAAAATCGATTATGTGACGCGTGCTAAAAAATTAAGGGTTTCTTTTAAAACAAAAAAAAAAATACCATTTATTGTAGAAATTTCTATGACCTTATAGTTTTGTAGATGATAACTCATTATATCCGGACATTATTCTTACTTAAGAAAAGAGACATTATTTTGCCTTTCGAAAAACTAGCCAAAAATATCCATGTAGAACAAGGATTAAAGCTTTCTGAAATGATCATAGCTTTCTGAAATGATCATGGTAAAGAATTTTGAGGAACTTCAAAATGAGGAATTTGATGATTTATGTAATGGAAATGATATTCGTCACATTTTCTAATCCATGAATTCCCCAACAAAATGTATCAGTGGAGGAAAAATAAATTACTAGAAGAGCTTGCCAAAAAATCTTCTTAAATAGGTTGATGTAAATATTGCTTGCTATCAAGTTAAGGACCAATTATAAATCAAACTGATTTATAGGACATAGTAGAACTGAATATTACTCGTACATGTCTTCAGAAGCAAATGCTTCGGACTTAACAACTAGAAAGATAATATCTTCAAAAGCAAATGCTTCGGACTTAACAACTAGAAAGATAATATCAGGAATTGTGACGCACAAGTTAATGAAAGCATATTTCTACAATATTCCACATAAAACACTTGTCAAATAAATATTGCAAAACAAGCTGACACTAAAGCTATGAAGAACATAGTGAAAAATCTAAATGTGAGAATTTTCTGTCAAATAGAAATGTTAACTTTAGAGTTAACAGCTCGACAAATACTAAACTTTACCACAGAAAGATCATAACGTTAAGTAACAGAATGCAAGATAATTTGTAAAATAACAAAATACTACTCGTTAATTCTCAAAAGTTCAGAAGAGTTTGTGCTTAAACAAAATTGTTGGGCATCTGGTTCATTCATCTTCCCCTTGGGGAGAAGGAAATATAAAAACAAAACAAATTGTTCCAACACCACAAAGGGAGAAAACAATACATTAGGATAACAAGATAAAAGGAAAGGTCCTTCATGTTTGAACTCCAAAACTTAAACTCTAAAGCCTCTGCTCTTCCTCTTACCTCTGGCTTTCTCGAACTTGCGTCCTTTAGAACGGACATAGGGCTTGGTGTGGCTGTGTGGCACACCAGGAGCTCTTCCAAAATGCTTGACAGCCTCACGGGCATTTTTGGGACCTCTAAGAAGAACCTGAAATATTAATTCGTGGAAAAAAATGTTACTAATAAAATATATGCCTTCTTCAACTTATCAAACAGAAGTGAATACTATTATAAACAAGAATCCATTGCCGAAATTGATCTATAACTTTATAACAATCGTTAGGTCTGAAAGTAGATAAACAAATAATATAAAAGAACATGAAGCACCATCACAGTTCACCATACAAAGAAATTAAACGAAGGAAAACAGTTGAGGTACATTAACATTCAGCATTCTATAGATTTCCCCTTTCACAAAGGTGACAACAAGATAGCAGTGAAAAGTAATACCGCACAAGCGGTGCTAAATAACCATTAGTTGGAAGCCATGAGAAAACACAAAATTGCAACAAAATTGCTTCATGTTCAGAAACAAAAGCAATGGTAAAAAAATGGACTTTTACATCAAGACTGGTACATAAACATTCTGATAAGTTGGTAATCATAACTAACATAAATCTATAATGCATGCTCACATAAGCTAGCCAATATCCCAACTAATGAAACAAATGAAATTATACCAGAATAAAACACATACCGTGTTCTGGCCTAGAGGAGCTTCAATAGCCAGCTGATCAAAAGTAAGGCACTCCCCACCAGCCTTCACAATTCTAGCTCTGGCAGTTTCTGTGAACCTTAAAGCAGTTACCTTCATTGCAGGCACGTCATAAACACGAATATCATCGGTCACAGCCCCCACAACTACAGCAATCTTACCCTCCTAATGAAACAACAACAGAAAACCCAAATTAAGCATTATGTATATATTTAAAAATTATTTCAAAAGTAACAAATTTTCTTTCTCAAAAATAAGGGCATGTTTGAACTACTTTCTTCAAACTAATCTAATGATATAAAAACTTGTAAACATGTTTGATAATTAAAGAAATCATCTTATAAGAAAAAAATTGAAATAGCTTATACATAAACATCAACATGATAAGTGCATTTGATTTAACAATTAATCCAAAGAGAGTCTAAGAATTAATATACCTTTCCCTTCATGAAGCGAATCAACCTAGAGAGAGATAGCGGTGGCCTATTGACTTTGCTCATGAAAAGACGTTTAAGGATAACCGCATTGAAATTACCGGGAGCCCTCCGAACAAGGAAACGGTAAAGCTGAAAATTTCAAACAAACAAGGAAATCGCTTCAACACAGATCCATTATTCGTAATCACGGTAACACGCGTTATAGTAGTAGAGATGGAAAGTACCTTGACGAGAAGCTTGAGATAGATATCATTGGATTTTGGTGCTGTTCGTTTGGTCTTCTTGGACTTACCCCCGGCTTTCAAATCGATACCCTGCAATATGATAAATAAACAAAGTGAGGTGAGAAATTTCAGAGTTAGAAGAAATGGTGGTGATGGTGATGGTGGCGGCGGAGGAAATGGTAGATGAACGTACCATTGTGGATGGAGCTTCTGGCTGCTGCGAGTGAAAGGGGGCTAGGGTTTTTATTAGGGTTGAGTGAATTTATTTATGGATTTGGATTACATCGTTCCAAAGCCCGAGTCATCTTGGACCATGTCCATGACCCGTTTTTTAAATAATACTATAAAAATGACCCACTTTTCTTAAGGCTATTTGATTATGAGGGTTGAAGGGTACGGGTCAACCTCGAATCTACTCACTCAATTTAACTCAATTATTATTTGAGAATTTTTTATTTTATCTCTGGGGGCTTTTAGACATCATGTGCCCTTTCAAAAATATCTTCTGTTTTTGAAGATGTATCTCTGGATGCACCTTTTTTTTCACTCAACGTTGGTTTTTTTCGGAGCTACATCTATAAAATGTTTCCGTTTATATAACTCTAGAACATATTGGTATACATTCGCGCCAGAGTCTCTTCTCATCCTTCATTCTTCATTTTTCATCTTCTTCACTCTCAAATTCTTCAAACTCTTTCAATCCTTAAAAAATCATGTTTCACCAAACTTAATTTTTTTCAATCGAGTTCGAAGGAGCTTTTATTTCAACGATCAAGACACTCCAAATCATTCAAAACTCCATATAATCAGAAAATTTTCGAGTTTCCAAGGTATTTTCGAGTATTTTTCATAAACGAGTTAGAATATAGTTTTAGGGATAGAAATCTTTAGATAGTTTTAAGAACATATTTTAGAGACAATGTAGATATTGTTTGTTAGCTGAAACAAACGATTAAGGCTTCAAAAAATCGATTTTCATAGGTAGGGGACGCCATTGTCGTCAAGAGACAAACGATTAAGGCTTCAAAAAATCGATTTTCATGGGTAGGGGACGCCATTGTCGTCAAGAGACAAGATCACCGCCCAGACCAACTCATTAGGAGATTTTAGAGGAGCAACAGTCTCAGCTGGACCACATTCTTCTTATATATATCATATTATTTTATTTACGAATGTATGTTATTCTATATTCATCTACAACAATTAATTTTCATCTACGATCAACAAAACTGATTTTTTTTTAAAAAAAACTTGTTCTGATAAGATTTCAGAAATGCATCTACGAAACTTTTTCCGTAAATGTGTTTCTGGAAGCATCTAGCGTAGAGAGAGAAAAAAGGGTGCGTCCGAAGATACAACTCCAGAAGCAGAGGGCATAAAAGGAAATCCATTAGGTGGCTAAGAGTATCTAGGGGTGGATTAAGAAATTCTTTTATTATTTTTACCCAACTCAGTCATGTACAGGTCCAACCCGAACCAACCAATTCAAATTCATTGGTATTTGGTTCGAGCAACGGGTTTGAAGTTTTAAATTCACGAACCCTCAAACCAAACTCATTAATATACCACATTATTTTCATGTTATTTTATTTATAAATTATCTAACTTAATTCTTACAATGTATTTTTTAATATAATTATAGTTTTTATTAATCGTAAAAACCTATGTTTAAATTAAATTTGAGATATCAACTTTATTTATTTAAACAGAGATATATTTTAGCTTTTAAATTATATTTTACACCATTTGTATATTTTTCTAACTTTATATGAATTGTAAAAGAGTTTTTAGGTATTAACCAATCAATTTTATTCAAATTGAATACTAAAAGTTATGGTTTTTTAAATATTTTTTAATACAAATGTGTTAATTAAATTGATATATTTTATTTATAATTTTAAAATTATATTTAGTTGATGACCCACGAACTCAATCCAACTCAATCCATTGATGAGTGGGTTGGTTATGTTCTGATTTAGTCTTAAAAGTATTGGTTGAACACTCAATACAATCTAAAAAATATTAATTGGATCGAATATTAAATTTAATTAAATTAGACTCAACCCAACTTGCGAGCACCCCTTATTTAATTGACAAAAATTATATTCTTATGTGTATTATATTAGATTAGATATTATTTGAGCATGATTATTTTTATGTTTAATTATGGTTAAATATCTAATATCTATCTTAGAAAGTTAATGGCTCTGGAATTTTCTCGTCGAAATTATGTAATGACAGAATGTCATCACAATTCCAAAGTAAATTTGGTGCTTGTTCTAAAGTAACTTGCCAGCAACTACAATTTCAATAAAAAAAATAACATACTAATTATAACCAATGCACATCATATTCTTACAATTTTATTACCTGGTCATCACTTCCGCTTTCGGCTTCAATCAAGAAAATTTAGAAAAATACATTCAATACAACAGTATTTAACATGTCTCTCATTTCACTATGATTTTACTCGTAATGACAGGGTAACCTCTCAATCAACATACAAGAGCATTTTATATTTAATTTGAATGTTTTCTAAAAAAATAAATCAAAGTCCCTTGAACACACATTTTTTTATGTCTTTTCGGATTGTAACAGAGTTTATGTCAAGATAGAATAATTTGGAATAATAGGCTTAAACCTTTAGAGTTAGGTATCTAGTTTTCCTTGTTTTATCAGATTTCTCTTCATACAACTCTTTGTTTTGTTCTATTGGTACTCGAGATGATCTTTTTCATTATTTATTTTTTTTTGTCTTTTTTTAAGAAGTTATTTAACTTCTTTATTTTCTTTTTCACAAAAAAATTTATTTTTGACAAATTTCTCTAGTACCCTAACCCCAAACTTCAATTTTGTTCATTCCAAAGAGAAACCCCAAACTTATTTTTTTGTCTGCAACAAGAAACTAAAAATTCTACCTAACTCAAAAGAGTGGGTGAAAAGATTTAATCTTTTAAGTCATAGGCTAATTAATTTGGCTATGTCACCGAAAGAATGGTTAAGGGCTTAAGGCTCAAAGTGTTTTGCAAAGGATATAACACTAAAATTGAGTTGGCTTAAAAAGACTCAGATTTTATAATAAAAAATTGTCTCATTGTGTATTTATTAAACCAATAAATTAGGGTTTAGGGTTTAAGGTTTAAGGTTTAGGGTTTAGGATTTAGGAAATTACTAAAATTAAAATTCCTGATAGGTTGCCTCTCATTAAGTGTTTCTTTACCGTCATTAGCTTGATTGTTACATCCTAAGGCTCATTAGGCGAAGAGGGTACCCTCGTGCCAATTAATTTTCCTTCGATCACTCCTCCATCAACCTTGGTTACCTTAACTTTGTATCAAGTATCATAGTCTTCAACATGTTGCGTCCAATCGCATGCCTCAAATACTACTTCTTTACTGTTGAACTTTGAGGCCAATTCACCCGATTCCACATTAGTCACTACTCTTCAAGTTGCCAATAAAGGTTTTCCTAAATTTAACGAAGCATCAGTATCTTCATTAATATCCATTATCACCAAATCTGCCAGAAACACCAACCCATATACATTAACCAACACATCTTCTATGTCTCCATATGGATGAGTGATTGAGAGATCGACCAATGTAAGAGTCATATTTGTTGGTTTTGGATCTCCAAATTTCAGATTTTTCACTAATCTCAGAGGCATTAAGTAAATGCTAGCACCCAAATCACAAAGTGCTTGCAGAAGATTTTCTTCACCTATGGTATAGGGAATGGTGAACCTTCCTAGCTCTTTCAACTTTGGTGGAGGTTTTCTTTGGAGTAAAGCACTACACTCAATTGCCAAAGCAATAATTTCACATATATATGTTTTCTTCTTTCTTGAGATAAACTCTTTCATGAATTTAACATATTTAGGCATAAATTCTAATATTTCATGAAATGAGATACTTACTTGGAGTTTGGTAAGCATCTCTTTAAACCTTATGAAAAGTCTTTCTTTTTCTTTTTCTTCTTATTATTATTATTATTTTTCTTCTGCTTTATGTTTCTTCCTTATGATTGGATACGGTGGTTTGACATAGTAAGGTAGTTCAAACTAGGATCATTGAGGATTTGATTATTGGTCCTCATAAAGGGTAAGTTTAAATATATCAATTTATCAAGCGTATCCCCCATCACCGAGTAGTCATTCGTTTTTTCACTCAAATCTTTTTCTTTTTCAACTTCTACCTCTTCTTCCACATCACATACTTCTTCACATATTTCATCCTTTCTTTGGCTTGATTCTACCCCATATGCTAACTTTATGGCTTCATAGGTCTCATTCTTTGGATTGTCAACAGTGTTACGAATAAAACCTCCAATAGAACTTGGTATTAAGGCTACCTGTCGAGACATTTTCCCTATATTCATCTCTAAAAATTTTATTGATGCTTCATGGTTCTTGCTCATGGTTTCATGTTTCTTATTTACCTGTTCAAAATTTCTTTGAGTTACCTTAATGAATTTGTTAAGAGTTTATTCAAGTGGTGAAGGTTTCCTCTAGAATGGAGTCTGTTATGCCTATTGAGTACCTTGATTAGTATTCAATGTTTGATTATGGCTCCATTTAAAGTTGGAAAAATCTTTCTAACCTATATTCTAGGTGTTGGTGTTGGAATAGGGATTATACTTTTGGAAATTTGAAAATTGAACTTCTTCACTTGAGCCACCTAGAGAACACATCCAATTCGCATCTCCTTCTCTGTATAAATCACATTTCAAGAGTTGTACATCCCTTAAATTGGCTTGATTAAGGCTGCTTTATGTCAATATTTTATTTAGCAGTTCAACCCGAGCTAGCAATGCAGTATGAGTGTCTATAGTTAACACACCCTTCGGTGTGCCTATCATTTCATCCTTAACTCCTCTTTCACTCTTTAAGTGGTATTCGTTCAAGAAAATCTTCTCAACTAACTCTTTTACATGTCCTTTAGTCATGGTTCAAATGGTACCTGCAATTGAGGCATCTAATAGCAATCATGTCTGACTTATGAGCCCTTTGATGAAAATTTTCATTTGTTCTATGATGCTCATGTTATGATTCAGACACCTTCGTGATAACAGATTAAATCTCTCCCGTGAATCGTATAAGGAATCAGTTTCTTGATGCTCGAAGTTTGTGATTTTTGTTCTTCTTTCGGAAAACTTGGTGGTGGCAAAGAACCTCTCCATAAATATTTCTTCTAACTC